AAGAAATCGAAATGACAACAGCAGTGGGAAAAGATAATGGAGAAGCTCAATATTAGCAGCTAAAACCAGGCCAGGGACTGACTATGAAACACCATCAATTGCTCATATGTAAATTCTGGTTGAAGTTGAAAAAAAATTAAAAGAAGCCCATAAAAACCAAAATACAACCTTGAATTTTGAGAACAACACAAGAACAGATTTGACTTATTAAACATTAATGACAGAAGATTTGATGTGGCGTGGGTGGACATCAAGCCGACCATCCATGAAGAAAGCAAAAGGTCACTAACCAGACAAGAAAGAACGAAAAGATCAGAGTGGATGGCAGAAGAGACGGAAACTTTTTCCTGATTGTAGACGAGCTAAGGCAAATGGAAGAAAAGTCAAAGAGGTGAACAGAAAATTTCAAAGGGCAGCTCAAGAAGACAGAGTAAAATGCTACAATGAAATATGCAAAGACCTAGAGTTAGAAAACAAAAAAGGAAGTACACGCTCAGCATGCCTTAAACTCAAGGAAAAAAAATGAAGCCTTGAATTGCAAGATTGAAAGATTCTATGGGCAAAACACTGAATGATGCAGGAAGGATCCAAAGAAGATGGCAAGAATATAGAGTAACTACCAAAAGTAACTAGTCAACATTCTACTATTTCAGGAAGTAGCAAATGATCAAGAACCAATGGTGCTGAAGAAAGAAGTCCAAGCAGCACTGAAAGCATTAGCCAAAACAGCCCAGGAATTGATGGACTACCAACTGAAACGTTTCAACAGGCTGATGAAACCCTGAAAACACTCACACTGGTTTATCCCAAGGAATTGATGTGAAAGGGATTTATATTTGTATCCATTCCAAAGAAAGTTGACCCAGCAGAATGCATAACTTATAGAACAATATCATTGATATGACATACAAGTAAAATTTGGCTGAGGATCATCCAACAGTGGCTGCATCAATACATTGACAAGAGCTGCCAGAGATTCAGAAGAAATGGAACAAGGGATAGCATTGCTAATGTCAGATGGATCTTGGCTGAAAGCAGAGAATACCAGAAAGAAGTTTACTTGTGTTTCATTGACTATGCAAAGGCATTTGACATGTGGATCATAACAAACTGTGCACAGCCTTGAGAAGAAGGGAAAGCCCAGAAAGTACATTGTGCTCACGCGGGACCTGTCCATGAATCAAGAGGCAGTTGTGTGAACAGAATAAAGGACTACTGCACGGTTTAAGCTCTGGAAAGGTGTGCATCAGGGTTGGATCCTTTCACTATACTTATTCAATCTGTATGCCGAGCATGATAAATGGAGAAAAGATTGAAGCTGTGAAGACTTCATTTTACTGGGATCTACAATCAATGCTAATGGAAGCAGCTGTCAAGGAATCAAATGATACATTGCGTTGAGCAAATCTGCTGCACAAGACCTTTTTAAAGTGTTGAAAAACAAGGATTTTACTTTAAGGACCCAGGTTTGTCTGACCCGTCACGCCATTTTATTTTCCATCACTTCATATGCATGTGAAAGTTGGACACTAAATAAGGTCGACAGAAGAAGAATTACTACATTTGAATTACAGTGCTGGTGAAGAATATTTTACATACCTTGGACTGCTAGAAGAACAAACAAATCTGTCTTGGGAGAAGTACAGTCAGAATGCTCCTTAGAAGTCAGGATGGTGAGACTTTGTCTCATGAACTTTAAACAAGTTATAAGGAGAAAGTAGTCCTTGGAGAAAGACATTATGCTTGGTAAAAGTGGAGAGGCAACAACTGTACAAATGTGCTTGATACACTTGATGTATGAATTGTTATAAGAGCTGGAAGAGCCCCCAAGAAAATGATTTATTTATAATAAAAATTTCATTAAAAAAGATATTAAAAAAACAAAACAAAACAAAAAAAGTGGAGAGGCAAGATGAATGGATACAGTGGCTAAAACAATGTGCTCAAACAGCTGTGAGGACGGTGCAGGACTGGGAGGTGTTTCACTCTGCTGTACATAGGGTCGCTATGAGATGGAACCAACTGGACAGCAACTAACAACAGCAGCATGGACTTCTAATGGTGGCACAGTGGTTAAAGCACTCAGCTGCAAAATGAATCACCAGACCCATCAGGAACTCTCTAGAACAGAGCTGACGACTGTACTCCAATGAACATTTACGGCCTTGGAAACGTTATTGGGTAGTCCTACCCTGCACTATCGAGTTGCTGAGATGATTTGTCAGCAGTGGGTATGGACTTGGAGAAGGAGACTCAGCTGCAAATACAAAGGTTGGCAACCTAGCCAGAAGCTTCATGGGAAAACGACCTAGAGACCTGCTGCTGGAAGGATTACAGCTAAGAAAACTCTACGGAGCAGCTGCATTCTGTCACTTGGAGTCACTGGGAGTTGGAATTGACTCTATGAAAAACATGAACTTCCAGAGTGACAACACTGGTCTACTCTGCCTCAAACACGCTGGCCTGGCTAATGGTTTTGCTCTTGGAGGGCACCTGACAGGTATTGAGTGCCTTGATTCTTAAATATGCATGCAGTTGACACAGTTCAGTTACCAATGTATGTTACACTATGTATTAGAAATCAGACTGTGATAGAAAGCAGGTTGGTCCTTCAAAACAAAACCCACTGCCATGAAGTTCATTCTAACTCATAAAAACAAAACAAAACAAAAAAAAACCCCAAAATAAATTCACTATCATCAAGTCCATTCTAACTCATAAAAACAAAACAGAAAACTAAACTCACCACCATTGAGTCAATACCAACTCACAGTGACTCTATAGCACAGGGTAGGGGATCCGAGACCATATCTCTTTACAGGAGTAGAAAGCTCTGTCTTTTCCCCAGAGAAATCCTAGATATGGTTTCCACGCCTGTGAATCTTTATGGGAGCAGTCTCCTCTCTCTCCTGCAGAGGACTGGTGGGTTCCAACCACTGATGGTGCAATAAGCAGTCCAATACTTAGATGAGCACCACCAGGGCTCTTCCCTCCCTGCCATGGAGTCAACTCTAATTGACAGGGGCTCTACACAACATGCTAGGACTGTCCCTGTTGTGGCTAGCAGCCCAACTTGTAACCCATTATGCCACCACAGCTCCTTAGAGGCTCAGGAATTAAAAGCACCATCAGACGCAGTCTCAGCTTAAGGACGGTTTGTTCTTCACATTTGAGACTCAAGGATCCCATGACAGGGACAAAGAGATTTCCACGCTGGCCCACAGTCACCACATAGGGGTCAACATTAAGGTCACATGAAAGAAAATTCTGGTTTTAGTCTTCTTTTAAGACTCTCAAAGGGGACTGCTTTTGAGAGATAAAAAGAGCATTTCAAGCGTAGATTATATATATATATATAAATATATATATATATATAAATAAAATTTTTTCTTGGGAAAAGGCCCAAGCTCTCCTTAGATTGTCACGACAACTGCGATCATTTTCTGCCCCCCTAGAAAGGCTAAGATCCGCTTCCAGAGGTCTGGTGGGGCATTTCAGACATCCTCACTGAGGGGCAGCGGAGGAGGGGAAGGGCCTCAGGGAGATGGACTGACACAGTGCTGCAACAATGGGCTCAAGCATAGGATGGCGCAGGATTGGGCAGTGTTTTGTTCTGTTGTGCACAGGGTCACTATGGGTCCGATTGACTTGATGGCACTGTACCACCACCACCACCACACTGAGGCTAAGGATGATGGGAAAACTGAGTTTTAGGTACTGCACTTCCTGAATCCGTGTATTTGAAATGTCAGTTTGCACACAAAGTCAACACAGAGACCTGTGGGATTCTGAGGACCAGTGTGTGAACTCCACCTGCAGGATATAAAGAATCAGCTTCACCTGGGCCCAAGTCTAATCTTAATCCAGTAAAACAAGAAGCGGGCACTGGCTTTATTACCAACAAGGTGGCTGTACCGAGGCACTATAAACAACTCCAAGTCAATGAGACACCCCCAGTGCCACAAAACCCCCACTGCCCTGGAAGGGCACATTCTCCCTCGGGCCAACAAAGCAGGCTTTGAGAGAATGGTACCAGGGTCAATAAAGCAGGCCCAGTGGCCCAGGCCTAAAAGAACCCCCGTCCTTTCTAAGGGAGGGTTTCCCAGAGTAGACAGCAGAGCAGGGTACCATCCTCTCAAAGCCTGACTGATGCACACAGCAAGTAGCTATCCGCGGCTGCTACCAAGGCCGTTTCGCAGGGAAGCCAGTTCTCCCAAGCAAGCATCAACATCTGCTGAGCAAGAACCCCGATCAGGTGCACCCCAACACATCTCCGCCCAGGCCCCTCGTGCTTTCTGCTTCCAGCTCTCCAGCCTCTCCGTGTCCCCTGCGGGCTCCTTCCTGGTGTCCTCTGCACGGCCCAGCCCATACCCTGCTGTCTGGTAGCATGTCCCTTCCGCTCAGCGCTGACTCTCCGCGCAGGTCTCCCCCCCTCCTCCAGCATCACGTACCGAGCCCACTCTGCGACTCTCCACGTGTCACCGCCCCCCTCTCGGTTCTCCCGCCATGCCCCTGCCCACCCTTTCGCGACTGCAGGGGAGTGGCTGCCCTCAGCCCCCTGCACCGGACAGTCACGAGCGGAGACGGAACCGTTTCCCCAGCCCAGCTCCCGCCAGGCCCGGACCCTGACCACTGCCCGCCGGCCAGCGGCGTCCACCACGGTCACCGAACGATTCCTGCGGAGGACAAAGGCGAGCCTTCACCCCGGGAACCAGGGGACCTTCGGGAGAGCGGGGGCAAGTGGCCGGAGCACAGAGGAAAGCGGGGCGCACGGTCGCCGGGGCTGAGGCGCCCCATCCGCGGCTGCAGCCCGTTCTCCTCCCCGGCGACAAGCCGGGTTCGGCAGGTCCCGGGGACTCCAGAGACGAGGGTGGTCTCCTCTCGCCCGGGGAGAGGGGAATGAATGGGCGCCGTGGACCCGAGGCGCCCCGGGGACGGGGCTGCAGAGGGCAGGCGGAGAGAAGGCGTCCCGGCGCGGTCCCGGCCCGCGCGCCCCGCACCTTGGTGTCCACGTCGGCGAGGCAGTCCCGGCGGAACTGGTCGAAGAGGCCCTGGCTCTTGAGGTGGTTCACGATCATGGCCACGAGCTGCGGGTCCCCGGCGCCGGCCCCCGTGC